GATAACGCTCCCACAGCGACATTGTTTGAGCAAGGTTGCATCCGTCGCGCACGCATGAGAGAACTTTGTATTGTCATCCGTAACTCCAGAAAAGGCCGGCTCGTCACCACTGAAAGAGTTTGTCGTTGCACCAACCAGGGGTCTCGATTTATTGAAAGTTTTGCAGGGGGCCCAACCCAATGGCCGATTAGCCCGCCAAGCAAACGTAAAAACAAATGCTGGATTAATTGGTTAGCCTTCACTTGCCTCCCCCCAAAAAAACTAGTCGAGCTACGCTCACTTAATTTTCGTTTTATGATTCTTTCCACTCTAAGTGTATTTCGGTTCTTATGAACTAAAAGCAGAAATGATAGCGAGTGTAAAAAGGTGCACTGCACACTTTGACGACAAAATCTGTCACTTTTTCGCAAAAACACTTTTATATCTCCTAGTCGCGTTGTGGGAGGCCATTACCCACCATACCACCCCTTCAGTCCCCCAAAGCAGCCAACAAACAGAGTAGGATCATCGAGTCCCACATCACAATTACAAAATTCTTCTGACTGGCCTATGTATTTTCGGTCGCAAGTAACACATTTCTATCCCAATAAAAAGAATGAAGCTCCTCCCCCTGCCTTGAGGGAGGGGTGGCCATCGCGCTGTTGCAAACTTAAGAAGCAGCCTTGCTTGAGCCGCCGTGAGCGTTGGTGCAGCACAGTACAAAAGCGGCGGCGGCGGCGGTGGCTCAGCAGTAGCATACAACAGCAGCGGTGGCAGCATAACACAGGGCAGTCGTAATGGCGGCGGCATACCATTGGACGATAGCGACGGCTGCTAGGCGCTGGACAGCGGCGGTAGGTACTGGCACTTAATGATCTACCAACGGCCAAAAGTGCTATACCGCTGACTTGACGTCGAGGCGAATTGCTTCAGTTCGGCCTGCAGATCCGTGGCGGCCACCACGTCTGGGTATGTGGCCAGCACTGCGGCGTGATTTAGCCGCCCCTGGCCTAGAGTGGAGCGCAGCCATCCCCTCAGACGACAAAGAAGGCTGAACGCCCGCTCTGCCGTACACGATGCTGCTTGGGCGGTCAGAACCACACGTAGCAGCGAGGCAGCGGCTGGCAGCACCTGCCGCAGGCCCTCATCGCTCAGTAGGGCCACCACGTCGTCGAGGGAGGTCAGTGGTGCCTTTCTCTGGCTTGACGCCACATCCACCAACATCTGGCAGTGGAGGCGGAGTCGCTCCAGGTCGAGGTCGTGGAAGGTGGCGGCTGCCACCAGGGCGTCCTCTTCCGCCGTGAGGAGCGCTCCCTCGGCCGTGAGGAGCGCTCTCTCGGCCGTGAAGAGCGCTCTCTCGGCCGTGAAGAGCGCTCTCTCGGCCGTGAAGAGCGCTCTCTCGGCCGTGAGGAGCGCTCCCTCGGCCGTGAAGAGCGCTCTCTCGGCCGTGAAGAGCGCTCTCTCGGCCGTGAAGAGCGCTCCCTCGGCCGTGAAGAGCGCTCTCTCGGCCGTGAGGAGCGCTCTCTCGGCCGTGAAGAGCGCTCTCTCGGCCGTGAAGAGCGCTCTCTCGGCCGTGAAGAGCGCTCTCTCGGCCGTGAAGAGCGCTCTCTCGGCCGTGGCCAGGATGGGCTCATCAGAGCCGAGCCGACCGCTGATGAAGCCGGCCAGCCAGTCGACGGCTTCGCACTGCACCTGACGGCAGCGGTCTTTGGACAGGCATGCTGGTGTGGCTCGGCGCCCTCGTCCAGTCGCCGAGGTGGTCGCATCGGGCGTCGCAACCTGGGATAGCCCACTCTTAGGCGCTCCGCGTCGGACGTCAGCTCCGCCCAAAGGCGTTCGAGGCGGTGACGCTGGGGACATGGTGACATCCCTGACAGCACGTGCGACCTCCAGACCGGCAGACACCGACTGCACCTGTCCATGCATAGTGTGCATCCAAGGACGGTGTGGTCATCTGGAGCAGGAGTAGAGCCACGCGCAGGCCAGAGAAATACTAAAAGTCCCTGAGGGTTCTGCCAAGGCCGCTAGCAGTGTCTGACGCCTCCGGACGCATCGTAACAACGTCGAAGCAGTTATCGAAAGCTTGAAAATAATTGCAAAGGCGCGCATTGCACAGCGTGAATAAAGTGAATAATCCGTGGAGGGTTCTGATCGATGACTCCCCCGGCATGCTAGAAGACAGGGCCACAAAAAAACGTCGTAAAACCCTCCAAGCAAATGCAAAGAAATCAAGGTCAACGTGGGACGCTCCTTTGCAATCGCATTGGCCATGCATGTGGACGCATAGGGCCCCGGCAACATTGCAGAGCCTCTGGTCAGCCTAATGATCCTTAAAACCTTCCAGTGACCACTCTCAACTAGCAAGCAATTATTTTTGTTTACACGTGGGTCCTTCACTTTCGCTTGCGACTGCTCTTGGTCACCTGGAGGCCCAAAGACGTCCAATTCTGTTCCGTGTGGGGCAAAAAACAACTGCCTCTGCCCGGCCGGCTACGGGTCTCTTCGGAGCAAATATTGGTTGATGATATTAAGGGCTTATGGGCGCGTCGACTACATTACCATTTCTCGTCCTCTCGGAAACTCCACTGCATACCACTCAGTGATAACTGATTCATTTACATATCGCCCCGCACCTGATATGCGTACCTATAGGGTTGGACGGCTATAAATAATGATAAAAGTAATATGGACTAAGAAAGCGAGTATGTCTACATCACAACGTGGGTCCCGACCCAGGGGCCTTTAACCTAGGGGCCTTTCGGGGCCGGAGGGGCACGGCCCTGTGCCCCTCCCACTGGGTCTGCCACTGGTACGGACAAGGCAGGAAATGCACCCCGTGTCTCTGGTTTCCCAGATACCCTGCTCAATCCCTGCTCTACCAATACTTAGAATTGGGCACAGTTAGATAAGACTAGTTCTCAGCCTTCCGCTGCCTGGGTAATGGAGAGACAACGAAATGGGTCGGGCGCGGAACACCGCATCTCACGCGTCAGCGCGGCAAAGTAGAAGCAGTGACGTCAGCGACGCTCGATCCGAGATGGCGACACAGTAGACTGCCAACAGCTAGCCTTTTTGACCCCAGCGCAGTTTAAACCGTTTAAGCCGTACAGTGACATTAATGACATGTCAGGCCAACCCATTTTATTGTATTACAGACAAGGGCCATTTGGCGCCACTCAGCCCTTGTTCATGTGTAGCCGATCTGAACGCGACACCATAGCGCAGGGTTTATTCTAGACGCATCTGTCCCATCCTGATGCTTCAGCAACTTTCCGCCGCCGCCGCGACCACAGACCCCGTCAGCGAGCACATGTATTACAACAACGCGCGCCTGGGCAAGATCCAGTGGTAGTGAACGCTGGCCGCTTCAGCCCAGCGACACGCCACCCCTTCCACACGTGCCGTGATAACGATGGAACAGAGTACACGCTCCGCGAACGCAGCCCTATGGACCCACAAGCCCAGCGGAGGCAGCCCTACGGACCGACAGGCCCTGAAGGATGCCCTACGGACCGACAGGCCCTGAAGGACGCCCTACGGACCGACAGGGCCTGAAGGACACCCTACGGACCGACAGGCCCCGTGAAGGACGCCCTACGGATCGACAGGCCCCGTGAAGGACGCCCTACGGATCGACAGGGCCTGAAGGACGCCCTACGGACCGGCAGGCCCTGAAGAACACCCTACGGACCGACAGGCCCTGTGAAGGACGCCCTACGGATCGACAGGACGCACCGGCACACAGCACGTCTGAACCGGTGAAGGCTGGGCGTTGGAGAAATGGGGTGATTCGAGGCCTTGCAATGGCGATTATCCGAATATTGAAACATCGTCCGAGAGACCCATACACAGGCACGTGTACGCAAATTCAGGACAGATAAGACCAACGATCGGTCACACAGAGCACACACACGTGCACAGAAAGAGCCTCTGGATAACCATCCCGTTGTGGCACACGTTCACTGGGCAACACTACGGAAATGCGTCATTGCACGACTCACAACGATTTGCTATGATTGGTGCGGTAGCAGCCTGTCCGGTCGGTCCATGCTGGGGACCTCATAGACACGGGTGCGCACACTAAAATCACTGACGCGTCCCGGCCGGTGCATAGCGTAAACACATCACACTCTAACATAACACGTCGCAAACGTCATACAATCGGCCGGCTCCGCCACGCCTGGATACCACACTCGGTCACAAATGAGCCCAAATCACTGCATGCTGCATGATCGACACGATGGTTGCACGGGGTGCAGTGTGTGGGAGGCCAAGCCGGGATTAACTCGTCATCGATGCACAGCACACATGCCGACTAGCGTGGCGCCGCGCCTGGCCACTTGCGCCGCCCTGGTGTCCGCCGCGGCCCGCCGAGCGAAAGACCGATCCAATGCCCTGGCTACGGTATTTACACGAACGCGTCGCCTCTCGCCGCAGCTGAGCGCGGCCGCTGCAACCCGTGCCCCCCGGCAGCGACAGTGGCACACGAGCCTCACTGGCACGCCGGAATCTCCCGTCACCGGACGGGCGCCGGGTGGGCCCCGCCGCCGGCACGTCCACAGGCCCAGTGACTTCTGCCTTCACAGAGGCGGCGCTGACAGGCTGGCACCCCACGATTTGCTAGAGACAATGCCCGTGCTCTGGACCGGCAGGGCCACGATCTGGCAAGCCTGTTCACTCGTAGGCTGGGGAGAGGCCGAACAAGAATGGGACAGGACAGGTAAGCACATGATACGCAGAACCCCTATGGCTAAGCTCAGTATACAGGGCCCGGCCGCCGGGTCCCGAGGCGTCTGGACTGACTGTGGCGGCGAGGCGTGACGTCGCGCGCCCGGCCAATCTCGGTCCGCAGGTCGGCACACTGTCGCCCACGGTAGCCGGTCGGCGGGTGGCTCCGTTCTCGCGGGTACGCCGCCACATGACGAGCGTCCGCAGGCGCCGCTGACGGCCGTTCGCCCGCCGCACACGGCAGCCAGGGCCCGGCACGGCCGCTCCGACCGTCTCACCCCTCCGGGCCCCGCTCACAGCGTGCGCTTACGGCGACAGACACGCTTGTGCTCCTTGTGCCAGTGGACCTGGCGGCGGCGCAGAGAGTTAACGGCCCACGCCTCTGCACGCGGGTCACGGCGACGGCGGTGCGACGTGCGATGTGCTCTGAGCAACAGCCCCGGCGTCTGTCACGTCATGCTTTACTCCGCCAATGACGATACGCCAGCCGGCGTCTGATTACGGCTGGGCTGCACGGCAAAAGAGAACAAGAAATTTAAATTTCAGGCCCCAAAGCAAGGCGGAAAGACAGAGAGTGCGAGTAAAATATAGAGCTTTTGATAAAATCAATGTTTCGGCAGATCGCTTCAAGCCGCTCGCCCCGCCTGCACGCCCACTCACCTGTTGGCACTCGGTGCTGCAGTAGGCGGTGTTCCAGCAGCAGTGGTAGATGGCCTCCTGTTCGCAATTGAAGCACCACTGCTTGCGTTTGGAGGCGGACAGCTGCTGGCGGTACTGGGTATCCAGGCTGGCCAGCTCCTGCTTGTGCGCCTGGCGCGCCCGCTCCAGCTCCTTCTCCAGCTGACGGACGCGCTCCTCGCTGACGGCCGGGCTCGGCTGCAGACAAGATACAGCGTCCTGTGACGGCGCTGCCGTCTTGGAACCACCGCTTGACCTTGGGTACCGGGTCCGCGTCGCGTCGCGTGCGTGCAGCGCTGAGAGCGAGGGTGGAGATACGACTATCCCGTTAACGTTCGCAACGAGATCCATTCAAGGCGGTCATATTGCAAGGCTGTGTTCAATCATGTTGTACGTTAGCTGCACTGTGTAACGCCATTAGTCATGCAAGCCATCTCAAACACAAACGGCGAACATTCCCGTGATGGAGACAGAACGACGTCATCAATACGGACAGCATGGTGACGCCACGCTGTGTGAACAGTGCAGCGCCCAGTGGCGGATCCACAGGGGAGATCACGGGGCTGTGCCCCCCTCCCCCCCCCCCCGCCGCTGGGCCCGAAGGGGCCTGTAATAGGCTCTAAAGAGGCCATAGCTGGCCGAGTAGGCGCAGTTTTTTTTACCCTAAAAGCAACAAATTTGGACATCTTTGAGTCTCCCAGCGACCAAGAATAGTCACAAGCGATATTGGAGAACCCACGACCAGGACAAGAATAATTATTTGCTGATTGAGGGTGGTGATTAGGGAACAGCACTAATTCATGTACACTGGTCTTAGGTTATTCCCGTTTGCTCAGGAGGCCCTGCGCTTTGGCCGGTACCTTACATGTTAACCTGTCGGGGCAGTCACGATCGTTCAGGGGCCCACCACATTGGTATTGGGTTCTTCTCGCTTGTTTATAGGTCCCTATGTTGCTAACGGGTGTCTTTTTGTTGCCCTACCCAAGCCCCGTTCGATCGCTCAGGCGCTGTCCCCATTGATCTCTGATTGTCAAAGTTTAGCGGAAGGCTAGCCGTTGACGGGGACAAAAATATTAATCGGCCGGGCGCTCTTCGCTCGCTCCGTCCAGGGGCCCTCCACATTGGTCGTGGGGTCCCATCCATTAAGTCAGAAGGATCTCACTCCGCTGCCGACAGCCCCACACGTGTTTGCAAACGTCAGCGCGTTTTGTCTGCTTGTGGGCACGGGTCCGGCCAAATTGCTGCATGTACTTAAATCCGAGATCTACACGATGCCGATTTGCCTTGACACCTCAGCCTTAGAGCTGCAGCAGTGGGACCTGCACCGATGAGTCTTTACTCGCAATTGCCGAACGTAGCTTTACGCGTCGCCGATGCCGCCTGTGGCACTCGTTATGTCTGTGCACCACGTTCTTTACATATGTTGAATGCTAGGATATTGCGTACTCCATAATGGTCAAAGCAAGAACTCTACATTAGTCATCAGCCATCAACTGACCATATCGCCTAGCCGGCTAACCAAACGAAGTCGGCTAGTGTTAAATAACCTTGAAACAAAGTCGGCGCACTTGATTTTGATGGTATCCAGCAGTCAGTTCTAGTCAATTTTGCCATATTTTTCTCCAAAATGCTTGTCCTCAAAATGACAGGATCCGCCATGATCTGGAGAACATGAGGGCATTCCATGTAAGTATATGCATTACACGCCTAGTTTTCTAGAGCTGCGCGCAGTAAGATGGGTTCTCGTATATCAAAAAGCATGCAGAAAAAATCCTAAAATTGAACGACCGGAATACAAGGATTTTTTCCTTTACGGGCTCCAAACTCTAGGAGGCTCCACAACCTTGGACCTGGACGACATCCTGATCGGGTCACTGGCGGAGCCGCCGTGGCCTTACGTGTTGCTGCTCGGTGGCGCCGGTGCGCAGGAACTTGGCCGGCGTCTGGGTGGCGACGGTGCGCGGCTGTGGCTCTTGGCACGATGACGTCACCTGGTCGTCGGGCGACGGCAGGCAGGCCGGCTGTGGAGCGCGCGCGTCCGGTCACACCACTCGCCACTGTCACATCCCGTCAGCCCGAGTGGCCGGTGCTGAGCTCAGCACGCGGCGAGGGCAGGAGGAGGAGAGAGGGGAGAGGGCAGGAGAGGAGGAGGGCGAGCGGCGAGGGTAGGAGCGGAGAATTGGCGGGCGACGAGGGCAGGAGGGGAAAATTGGCAGGGCGGCGAGAGCAGGGGTGGAGGGGAGACGGGGCGAGCGGCAAGGCGATCAGGCACACGCCAATGAATGGATGACGGTTGTGTACACCATGACCACTGACGCACAATACGTAAATACACGATATGACCGCTGGCACGACGGAAGCCGGCTGGACGGCAGCAACCAGGCAACAACGACAAGGAAAGGCTCTCCCCACCTGCTTGTCGTTCTCCACCTTCTGGACGACGATGGAGCAGTCCTTGACCTCGACCAGGCCAGTCCTCGTCCGGATCGAAGGCCCTGCGACGTCGCTTGGTCGGAGGCGGGGCGGCGCCCTCCCGCAGCGGCGAGTCGGTCGACTCTGGCTCTGACTCGAGTCCCGGCTCCGAGTCGGAGTTGAGCAGCGACGGCTGCTCCTCCACGCGGCGCAGCTGCGCCTGGTGCCGCTTCAGCTCGTCATGGGCGCGCGTCCAGGGGTTGCTTCGCTTGATCTGCCGGCGGTGGGACGGGCACGGTGTTACGGAGGAGCGCGGCGGTGCCGGTCCAGCGGAGCAAGCCGGCTTGTCGATACACTGGCGCCGACAGACGACACGTGACGCGGCGCGTAGGAAACCAAACACCGACACATCATGCATGCCTATATTGATAATAAATATAAGACCATCCGGCCAGGGTAAACTTAATGATCATCTTCGTTAAGTTGAGCATGATTGAAGACAGTTATAAGGTGGAACATAGCGCATGCACAAAAGAGAGATAAAAAAAGAGATGAGCATGAATGTATCAGTACAAGCCGAAAGGCGTGGTTTCAAACACCCGCTTTCCGTTGCTAACTTACTGTTTCTCTCATTTCTTTCAGCGGGGATCATCCAGACTATCACTTCATTTTAAAGCACGAGGGTGAGCAAATGGTCCTAAACACCACTAAGGGCGTGACCGGGAGCGCTTCTTGTCCCCTGTTCATGCAAAGGAAGAAATAGACAAACCCTGCGCTTCGGAGGCAATAAGCAATGGCAAATAGGCGATGCACAGCCTGGGACAAACAGCAGCGCGCCGCACCTGTAGCGCCTGCAGCGAGGTAGTGATGGGCCGGATCTGCCCCCGCGTCACGAACGCCCTCTCGTGAGGCTCGCCGAAAAATCGCACATCAAACATGTCGTTCTCCGTCTTCATCACCTGCGGGCACAAGTCTCGCGGCGTGAAGTGTCGGCAACGCAAAGACATGTCTCCGTCTTCATCATCTGCGGGCACAAGAGTCTCGCGGCGCGAAGTCGTGTCAGCAACGCAAAGACATGTCGTTCTCCGTCTTCATCACCTGCGGGCACAAGTCTCGCGGCGTGAAGTCGCGTCAGCAACGCAAAGACATGTCGTTCTCCGTCTTCATCACCTGCGGGCACAAGAGTCTCGCGGCGTGAAGTCGTGTCAGCAACGCAAAGACATGTCGTTCTCCGTCTTCATCACCTGCGGGCACAAGAGTCTCGCGGGGTGAAGTCGCGTCAGCAAACGCAAAGACATGTCGTTCTCCGTCTTCATCACCTGCGGGCACAAGAGTCTCGCGGCGTGAAGTCGGTGTCAGCAACGCAAAGACATGTCGTTCTCCGTCTTCATCACCTGCGGGCACAAGAGTCTCGCGGCGTGAAGTCGCGTCAGCAACGCAAAGACGAGCCGGACGAGCTTGTTTGTGCGCTGCTCGTCCGATTCCAACCGTGACTAAGCACAGACGAGCGAGCTATGCGAGAGTCAACACACGAGCAGCGGGAGGGAGCATGTTCCGTGGCTAGATCAGTTAGGGCGCCCCACCTCCCAGCCTACCCGCGCCGGATAGCTGGGTTCAAGTCGCTTCGACGCTCATCATTAGCCCCTCGCTGGATGTCCTACGGCCGGCAGCAGCAGCAGCCCAAGGTAAGATGAGGTCGGAGGGCGGGGCGGACCGTCCCGAACACTGTAGCACGTTCAACCCTCGCCACACAATTTTGTCCGTTGAGTTACAATGTACCATCGGATGGTGGGATCAGGGTTCACCAAACAAGCACTGCTTCGTGCGAACTCCGATCGCAGAAGTCAATCCAATGCACATGTTTGGACTAAATATAACAATAAAATGTGATGAACTAGTTTAGCGTTGCTCGTAAGATACACGTGAACAACGTGCATACCAAAGTAAGTCGATATCAACATCCAGTTTTCAGCTGTCAGCCCACCAGACACTGCCGTGAGCCAACTCTGCAGCGGACGCTGTGTCACCTCTGGTCCGGGGTCGCACATCTCCTGTCGCCTCTGGTCCAGGGTCGCACATCCCCCGACACCGCGCCGTGCCGCCTACCTTGGCGGGCCAGAACGGGTAGCCCTTCTGCTTGGCGAAGACGAGCTCGTGCGGCGGCCGGCAGGGCCGACAGAACCAGTTCTTGCCGGGCTTCTCGTTGGACATGCGGTAGCAATCGCGGCAGATGCGGATCTCCTGGACGTCATGCAGACAGTCCTGCAGCACCTGGCCGGCCACCGCCGCCGCCTGCGACTCCGCTGCCGGCCAAAGCCACCGACCAGCATTCCATGAGCGCCGGGGCAACAGCGAGGCCGGAAACGGACCACCGTCCTCGGCAGCGTGAGCCAAGACTGATTCAGACACAAAGCATGAACTGTAGACACTTTCGAGACTTGCAGACATTTGAAACCATCCTGCAGTAGTCAGAGCGGTTGACGCGGCTTTGCTTTGTCCCCAAGGCATAGGCAGTACGCTATACATGCAGTACATCCTGATTTCACTGCGGTTAATAACGCTTTATCGCTTGCTGGAGATCACCGCCATTGCGCAATCAATAGTGGAATCCGTGCTCCTCCATTATTTCTCAATACTGACCTGCAGTTTCTGATCAGTCAGCCCACAGAAATGAATATATATATATATATATATATATATATATATATATATATATATATATATATATATATATATGTGTGTGTGCGTGCGTGCGTGCGTGCGTGCGTGCGTGCGTGCGTGCGTGCGTGCGTGCGTGCGTGCGTGCGCGTGCGTGCGTGGTGCGTGCGTGCGTGCGTGCGTGCGTGCGTGCGTGCGTGCGTGCGTGGTGCGTGCGTGCGTGCGTGCGTGCGTGCGTGCGTGCGTGCGTGCGTGCGTGCGTGGGCGTGCGTGCGTGCGTGCGTGCGTGCGTGCGTGCGTGCGTGCGTGCGTGCGTGCGTGCGTGCGTGCGTGCGTGCGTGCGTGCGTGCGTGCGTGCGTGCGTGCGTGCGTGCGTGCGTGCGTGCGTGCGTGCGTGCGTGCGTGCGTGCGTGCGTGCGTGCGTGCGTGCGTGCGTGCGTGTGTGTGTGTGTGTGTGTGTGGGTGTGTGGTGTGTGTGGTGTGCAGTGGGGAGCACGCGGGGTGCATTTTGATTTGACATGCGGCAATAACATGACGCTCAAAGTTACTCTTCACACTGCTAGATGATTTTTGCGTTAACAACGGGCGTCGGGTGGTGGCGGTGCGTGCCCGCAGCGGTGCAGGGTGGTGGCAGTGCGTGCCCGCAGCGGCGCAGGGTGGTGGCAGTGCGCGCCCGCAGCGGCGCAGGGTGGTGGCAGTGCGTGCCCGCAGCGGCGCAGGGTGGTGGCAGTGCGTGCCCGCAGCGGTGCAGGGTGGTGGCAGTGCGTGCCCGCAGCTGATCTGTGATCAGCAGACCCGCCGCATGGCATCTGTGTTGGTTATCGTCGGAGAACGCACGTTTCGTCACGCACCTCGCGGTCAGTTATTTTCCTGGCTCATATGTCAACACAAGAAAACTGTTAGACCACAAGCTGTGAAGGCTGTTTTATGGAGCACAACCCTGTGCACCCTTACACGTGCAAGCTAACACCACGTACCTCCGTTCATGACGATAATGTTGTGCACCATCAACCGCACGTCACCTTCAAACTCCGACAGCTTGCTGTACACCTAAAGCGAGAAGGTAGGTGTTCAGTTCAAATCACAGCTTAACGCCTTTGCATACCACATTTTACCTGAAATCGCCGCCGTTGCCTAGCAAAGCGAAACACAGCATTCATCGCAGTCAGAACTCCCAGCTTGCGTTGGACGTTCTCATGCGCAATCACGCTGAACTGTTTACGAGCGACGCTGGATCTGTGAGCCGCTCCTAAGGAAGTCCCGGCCCGGGTTGGCCCCTGTCCGCGTCCATTCACACCTGTCTGTCAAGCTTGTCCTCGATGTCGAAGATCTCCAGCGGCCGGTAGAGCAGGTAGGCGGTGCGGAAGCGCTGCTCGGGGTCCGAGCTGGGGGAGAGCACGCCGGCGTCCTCCGCCGTCAGCGGCAGCATCTGACGGGGAGCGCCCGACGGCCGGTCAGACGGCGGTCTGAGCCGGGGTGGCGGCCGGCCACCGCACGCCGCAGGCCAGCCGCGGTGGCCGGCGGCGCGCGGTGACAGACAGACGCACGCGGCAGACACACCGAGGCAGGGGCTCTGCTCCCGTCGTCAGACCGGGCAGTACCAGCTGGGGGAACGCGGGCACGTGGACAGCGTGACGTCATCTGCTCAAAGAACCAGACGGGACAGGCTGGAGGCCAGATAGGAGACGTCAGAGTAGGGCAGCACATGTCGGCACTGGCTGAAAGACAATGGGACGGGTGAAATCATAGCCAGGTAACACTGTGATTCAAAGATACCCACTATTGTTTGATCAAATTGTTCAAAAAAAAAAAACAGAAAGAGAAATACACACATGAAAAATAAGAGCACTCTGGTATTTCTTGCTTGGAAGCATGCACAAAATCTAGCAACAGACATCGTGGGCGACATATTCTACGAGACGCTGGCGCGCACTTGTGAGCAGCTAACACATTGTTTAAATATTCGGTGACAGGGTCGAGGGGCTGAGCAGACCACAACACAGAAGCCTAACTAAACATTATTTCACAGGGCCTTACCCTTGCTTTAAGGCGAAGAACGGTGTACCCCAAAAGCGTGTTGAGTGTTTTCTTCTTGATATCACATTGCTCCGCTGCGGCCATCTGAAAAAGCACGTGCAGTGGCCAACCCACCGAGGGGAGCCGAAGCAGCCGAATGACTGAATGGGTAAATCGCACTGAACAATACCTGGCCGAAGAAAACGCTTCGTTACCTGGCGACCATCTGGCAACTAAAGCAAGTTTCAAGCGTTACTGCCAACCTATTAAAGCAGAAATGACCGGGCATATGGATGGGTGTACAATGTGCCGGGAGTACAGACGGGTGTTGTGTGTCCTGCCGCTCTCCAGACGTGCCGCCCTCGCCTGGGATGCCAGCTCACCTGACACTGTGGGCAGGTGAAGGGCGTCTGACGCTCGGCTTCCGTCAGACACTTGCTGTGGCGGGCGGATGGGCAGCCGGAGCAGGCCAGCAGCTCGCCGGGCTGGTGACAGCTGGCGCAGTACCAGTCGTGCTCGCTCGGCGCCGGCTACCGGAGGAGCGCCGCTCAGGCTCGGCACCGGACAAACAGGCCAGGTCGGGCCACGACCAGGCGGTTGGTCAGCTCAGGTTAGGGCTGGACAAACAGGTCACGTCGGGCCACGACCAGGCGGTTGGTCAGCTCAGGTCAGGGCAGGCCAGGACTGGACCACAGGTCACGTCAGGTTTCGACAAGGCGGCAGGTCAGCTAAGGTCAGGCAGGCCAGGACTGGACCACAGGTCACGTCAGGTTTCGACAAGGCGGCAGGTCAGCTAAGGTCAGGCAGGCCTGACCAGGTCACGTCAGGTTTCGACAAGGCGGCAGGTCAGCTAAGGTCAGGCAGGCCAGGACTGGACCACAGGTCACGTCAGGTTTCGACAAGGCGGCAGGTCAGCTAAGGTCAGGCAGGCCAGGACTGGACCACAGGTCACGTCAGGTCTCGACAAGGCGGCGGGTCAGCTAAGGTCAGGCAGGCCAGGACTGGACCACAGGTCACGTCAGGTCTCGACAAGGCGGCGGGTCAGCTAAGGTCAGGCAGGCCAGGACTAGACCACAGGTCACGTCAGGTTTCGACAAGGCGGCAGGTCTCGCCAGGAAGGTGATGGAAGTCGGTGAAATGAGTCCCAGGACTGGAATGCGAAATGCCAGTCTTTCCTCGGCGGCGATGTGCGGTAGCACCATGCCAATGACCATAACCAGGTTGATTCTCATGTGCAGAAAGACATATCCCAAACTCTACTGAGGAACACACCAGCTGCACAGTACCAACAGAAATCTGAGAGCTTTATACTACTTTCTTTTATAAACAGCCGAGTTCAAATAACACTCACACAAGTACATCTAACAAGACAAAACAAAAAGATATTACCGCTAGCGCCACCCAATGCCCAATCTGACTCACGGGTCCTTTGGGCAGTTTATACAGTTCTTGTTCTTCTCCCTTCTTCGATCCCTTGGCTCCCAGCCGTTGCACGAACCGCACCAAACCATCGTCCACCACCTTAGAAAGCTCGTCCTCGATCACATCTGCGGACGAAAACAAACGCTCTCACTCGAAAACACGAAGCTCATAACACCACCACTGGGCGCAATCAGACCACACTAGAGTTCCCATCGACAGAGGACATGGTGAGCCTCCATCTGCGCACGCAGCAGCATTCAACACTCCGCATAATCTTGGCAGCGCTGATGTTGCGCGTTGTCCTCGGCTGCCCTCCCTTGCTTCCCAGCACAACCAGAACAGCTCGCTCACCAGGTGATATGCTGTTGAAGCGCATGATATGCTTGGATACCCTCTCGAAGTTGGGCTGCTGGCGCTGGGTCATGCAGCTCTGGATGGCATCCCACACCAGGTGGACGATGGTCGGGTCCGACTTCCGCCCCGTCATCTTTCCCCTGGGAGAGGGCATAGGATAGAGCTGTCAGGATAAGCATCATGCAACATCTCTGCTAGCGCCAGGTGATCCGTATAAGCGGCAGGTGGCATGGAGCACATAGTAGTTCCTGCTAAGTTCCCAGCATTCCTGAGATGTGTCTAAGACTGTACAGCATGAAGACCAATGTCTTCACCCTCTACCAAATGGGCAGAACCTGACACCTATTACCAAATGGACAGAGTGATGAAGTCCCCAACAAATGGTGAGGCACAACCTGAAGCTGGTGCTTATCACTAGACAAGAAGACCCTGCCAGGTACCCACTTTGCAACCCAGCAAGGTAGTTTTGCATGATAAGTTGGGAGTGTGTGTGTGTGTGCGTGTGCGTGTACGTGTACGTGTACGTGTACGTGTACGTGTACGTGTACGTGTACGTGTACGTGTGCGTGTGCGTGTGCGTGTGCGTGTGCGTGTGCGTGTGCGTGTGCGTGTGCGTGTGCGTGTGCGTGCGCGTGCGTGCGTGCGTGCGTGTGGGGGGGGGGGGCGCTGAGGAAGAGCATATGGCTAGACTCGCCCCTAAAATGTAGGAAAAACAGGCACTCCCATTATTTGACCCACTTTCTTCTCAAAGTCAGGGGGTGGGCCTGAAACCTGAAACTGAATGAGACTTTACCCCTACTGGAAACCCAAGCACTTCTTACATTGTGAAATGCAATTTTTTTTGCTATCCAATAAGCAACTAGCTGCTACAGTAATGTCGTACAATGTATCTGGAAAATTGGGCATAAATATATAAGTCCTTATTGTTATTTGACATGCACAAAACTTCAGTTACTGAATTCTGCAACGATATTTTCCGCTAGGCGATTTTTGTGCATTATAAAAATGTTAAGGTAGCCCAGAGTGTCTTTATTGTAATGCGGCTGACACAATGTCCCACTTATTGCATGATTGTCAAGCAGTATGGTACATATGGGTATGTCAAATTAATTGTCAGATAAATTAGTAAAGTGCCAATTGCCTTTCCAGGATTTTTGGATGGCTGTCATGCATACAAGTTAATTATCACATTGATCAAATGATACAGTCAAGTGATATTGTTATGTGAAACTCAGGCTTTGTCTGGCCATGGTGTAAAAACAGGTTATTTGGGTTTTTCTTAAGTAGACTGCAAGCCGCTACTTAGAGGTCACTGGTTAACTGCCCATAACAATTTTAAAAAATGAAAGAATTTAGCAAACGTGGCGAGATCTCGTACACAATGGTCAAACTAAACTAGGACGACAAAAACGGGAACCGACGAAACGCGAACACCAGAATGACAGGGACATTGTTGTGGCCGTGGGAAAGGGTGAAGGAATGCGGGTGGGGGATATCAGATCAAGTTACACAACGGGAGTGTTGATAGACGAAGTGTTTTCGGAAACCTGGCATGTATGTGAGGTGGCAATGAGAGTAAGGATGATGTGTGTGATGCGATAATGATGTGTGATGCTATTGCTGTGTCCTCTGTTTTTTAGCGTTTTTTAATTTGATACAAAAATGTTGGAATGCTGATATTCATAAACGGATCGAAGAAAAACAATAAAAAAGAATACCTCATAAAAGGAAAACATGAAGGTTCACACCATATGACAAGGTTGTACATTCAGTCAATAGTTGACTGCTTCCGTCCTCCCGGAGGTTTTTTCCAGACTAACTTCCGAATAGCGCAAACCAAACATTGCTGAGCCGCACGCGATCAAAAAGCCTTGATATTATTATTACTAATCAACATTTTATTACTTGTTTAGCTTAATTATTTGTAAACCATATTTTCATATTATTAGTATTATTAGCCTTAAACAGCCTAGGTCTTGGTATCGAAACATTAGAAAAACCTCATAAGGCTGCGGACCTAGAGCAGATGAGTCAGGTCATTTCTGTCAGCGAAAGTGGTTTACAGGGGATCGCACAAAATGATGCAACAACGCCGAGTTAGACAAAGCCATCAAACTTTGGGATGCTTTCTTACACGATAAGACAACTGAAATTAGGAAGGCGACTAATTCCATCGACCATGGGTCAATTACGAAAACCAGATTAAGGCCAAACCGGATAGCTCTGCTACTGGAAAACTTGCTTTAAGCGAAAGATTTTTGCAGGCACCTTGAACTCCTGGATAACAATGACATTAAGATTTCTTCCTTTGACTTCATGAAGGCCATGGTGGTGACTGATCTCAAATGACCTCGATCACACTATTTTTGCATAGCACGCTGTATGGGGTTTGCATTTTTTCGCCGTTCGTGGCTTCAAATAAGAAAATGATCTTGAACATTTCTGGTCATTACCTTCCAATGTCAAATACGGCCAATGACCTGATTCAAATTTGACACAAGCAAGTTCACATAGAGCCCTACTTACCCTGCTAATTTTGCATCTCACATCCTCAATTTTGGAAGGCTCAGGGGCCAAATTGCCCCCCGCCCCCATCCGAGCATGTCACATTCAACCGTCCACCCGGGCGCATATCGGTTACCTGTGAAACTATTCATCTGGGACAACACAGTAAAAATACACAGGGTTGGGCCTAGAGCACCACACTGAAGGGGTTACACATCACTCAGAGATTAAAATCCAAACGATTGTCCCGTTTTCCAAGAACCCAACAGGTTTTGCAGCACTTTTACTTGAGTGGTGACCTAGCCCTCTCCCTGATTCGTTGTTTTTCATTACGCTGACTTACAGGGGGAGTTTCGGTGCGCCCCCTCCCCCGCCCCTCCCCCGTCGTTTCCAAACTCAGATTGAGCTCAGCAGAAAAAACTAGTGGATTGATCGCAACGAGATCTCGCGATTGGCAATATATTTTCTGTTGTTAGATCAATAATTTTCCCCATTCTATGCCAGGCCAAAGGTCAAACTTTTCCCAAAACCACATTTTTCAGCTTTACCTCACACATGTGTCATGCACTGAAGTGACACACAACCTGAACAGGTGTGTTCCACGATCAGTTGCGAACACAATTGTGCATAGCTTTGTGTTTTGATCAACTGTTAATATGGCACCACTAATGTAACAATATCGGCCGACCGCGCACACAGTGGCATACTCGGTTGCCACCCGCCAGACGTGCAGGCCGCGGATTATCAAACCCGAAAAACTGCTGTTGCTCTGAAACCAGGAATGCCATGGACATGTTTCTGGCATTTAAACATGTGCAATAAATGCACCATGGGCCACCAAACATTTGAGCATGATTGCACAAGATGCTGGAGAGGTGTCCTTAAAAAACCTTAGGTGTGCATTGGCCCAGCATCCCCCCAGTATCAGTTGAGTGTTAACATGGACTTCTCTTCTGCTTTGAAGGCAGAGGGAGCAAATGAGCATCAGTCTTGAATCACAGTGGTGGTTAAGTGATGCATAGGATGCATCACTGCTTGGCAATGGTGGTAATTAGCAAACATGAACTTAACAATGCAGCAATGCCCAATAACTAGCTTAAAGATATGGTAAAACCTTGACCCCCTCAGACACAGTTAACTTAACTAGTGAGTCTTTTGCAGGGTCTTAACCAGACAAATCTTAGCTAGAGATGTCTGCACATGTAAACAAATCATATAATGTGGAGGGTGATAAGACCATGCTATAAGTCAATGCAACAATGCCCAATAACTAGCTTAAACAGATGGTAAAACCTTGACACCTCAGACACAGTTCACTTAACTAGTGAGTCATTTGCAGAGTCTTGACTAGACAAATCTTAGCTAGAGATCTGTCTGCACATGTAAACAAATCATATAATGTGGAGGGTGATAAGACCATTCTATAAGTTTTCCACAAAAGTGTTGCAAAGTAGCTATAGCTCTTTTGACTAGAAATAATAGCAACTGTACTGTCATTTTCAATAAATAGTATGATGGTCATAGCAATATAGAGGGATGGTTTGTGCATTTCTGCAACTTAGAACAGTGGTTATGAGCAAGAAAAAACTTTCCATTCAAAAGAGGGGCTATGGGTACCAAAGAAACAACTGTTCCCAAATCAGCAACATCTCACTCAACTTGATGGCTTCTGGTGCAAAAGAAGTAGCATTTTAACTTATTATGACCAGGTGCTCATCAAGCCTAAAACCAAACTAGTACCTAAAAAGATGGTGGAACACTCCTGCTCACATAGCTGTATAAGCTTTTTCCTTAATAAAACTGCATCCTAGGTATCAGAAGTAAAAATCATATAAATAGTTATGTTATATTCAATATGGAGAAAGTGCTCAGTATTCACTTACTCTGACCAGACCATATTAGAGCTCCAGTCTACCTAAACAGGCTTATTGGAAAACATTGCAGGAAGATTGTCTGAATATTACTGAAAGCCCTGAGTCATTGATTTTTCAATGTTATTATATTTTGTATAAGTTTTTGATATATAATACATCATATTCACCATTTTAGCATATTTTCTTATTTTATACTTTTGTTAGTCACACATTCATCATGAAGACATGAGGGTAGCAACTATTTCCTGTTTATGTAACATCTATGTTGACATTTGCATGCCTGTATTAGATATAAAACTTTGGAATACTTCATTCATGAAAAGCCTTAAGCACATATGTTCCACACACACACACCAAGTAATCCCCATGACAATGGAAGCAAAGAACAACTTTGCTACTCCATTTCATAAACATGGCTGTATATGAATATGGAAAGCTGAGTGATAACAATGTGATAACACTTTATCTCAACCATTTACTGCAGGAGGCTTGCACTGATGCAGTAAGAATGATCAAACCCACAGGACACCGGCATCTCGATGAGTGTCACACAGGGCATGAATGTACATTTACATGAATGGACCTGATAGAAGTAGCTCCTTGGAATATATTGGCCCACTGATAATCTAAACAGGCAAAATCAGGTCTCATAATAGCTACACTCTGTCTTAACAAACTTATGCAAACACCTCAATGTGTATTGTGATCGTTCAACCCCAGTGCAACTCACACCAAAACTGGAGCTTCCACATTGCCCTCCCCAAATGAACTTTGACCCCTTCCGAAAGCCAATGCTCAATCCACCCTTCCCAACAGGACACAATTATGCAAGGCACGCATCTCGAAAAAGAGCATTCATGCCAAATTCCCGCAATCGTTTTGAGCAAATGGTGTCACGGTAGCACGGTGCCAAATAATGTAAAAGTGAACTAAGCTACAAAAGCGGGGGTAAATAATAGCTCCATCGAATTCCCAGTGTGACCCATACTGTGAGCTTTGACAAGTACCTTGTAAATTTCTTCCTTGCACAGATCCCAAGTGGTATAGATCTAGGAAGATATATAAATAAGCAGATATCCCCCGCAAATGATCGGCGTTTGGTGCACGGATATGGATGCGCGAGCCACCTGATTCCGGGATGGCTACAAGGTACGCCGAAAATAAATGTGCTTACTTCACCAAGTGTTAAATGACGTCTTTTCAATAAATAGAGCCAGCGATCATTTTTACATGATTTTCTTGTACAATAGGTGTTTATTAAAAATATTATAAAAAGTTTTGAACGTTATAATTATCTTTTTAAGCAAAACTATTCTTTTAAATGCAATAAAAAGTTCAATTTACTCAGAGGTTCGAAAGTTGGGACAAATCTAGCGCAGCAGGGACATTTATTCACGGTGAATTGGACCAGGCTGAACACAGCGTCAGATTGCAAGGAAACCGTCTAATAGTTTTGGTGGATTGCACCAGAGCATACATACGTAGCAGGATACGTGCAGTGTTGGAACAGTCATCGAGCCGGCTGTGGGTTTGCTGTGGTTTTTATGCACTTTTTGTGATTTGTCTGGACAAATAAGGAGCCAGATAAGTGTAAGGTAGCTTTGAAAAGCCCTCTTCATTGCTGTATGCCGAACGGCACAAGCCGAGCTCCATTATGAACTGTAATGGACCCTCTCCTAAAATGTTGATCAGTCACAGCTGTCACTGCTGTTGTGGAAAGCACCTGATGACAAGTGAAAATTTAAGCATACTTGCCTAGGCCATTTTGTGTCCAATGTAGCCATGTAAATGTCAGCATTACATTAACATCACCGCAGCCTGGAGACTGGATGTGCAAGTATGGCATGTGCAGTAGGGCATGGGGATGCATCCAGTCCAGATTGTCCAGATTTTATCACAGTTCCTATGTTGTTCCATCCCATATTTGCTTTGGTCCACCCAATGTGAGAATGTATGATATGTGTTGCTGTGGTTCCATGCAAAATCCTCATGCATGCATAAATATATGTTTCACAGGTCCTGGCAGAGCACCATGGCATCCAAGCTTGCTGGAAAAGTAGCAATTGTCACAGCATCAACAGCAGGGTATAATATTTTTTGTGATTTCTGTTAGAGTAAAAGTGTCAATGTGGCACAATGCATTAAGCCTCCAATGAGAAAGCACTGTTCCTTACCAAGCATAAATCTTATCAATAATCTAAGATAGGCCAGATATTTTGATGACTTCACATACATGGTGCTGTTTTTTCATGTTTCCTTGTTCTGCCCTAAAATATGTGGTGATTTGAACTGAATAAAGGCAAAGCAGATAAATGAAGGTAAAGCAGATTAGAAGTCCATAATTGTGGAAGCTGATCCATGCAAAAATTGTTTTTTTAGTTTTGTTTACCCAATGGCTCTGCCTTTCTGTAAAGTTTGTAACTTGTGTTCATGTCACATTACAAATAGTGTTGACATTCATGTATGTCAGAAATATATGTATGTTTATAATAGATAGATATCATATGTGAGCTGTTTGATTCATTCTGTATCTTGCTTTTGTTTTGAGTTGGAGTGCAAATTTGAATAGTGTGAGGACAGATTTGCAGTATGTCAATAATTGTGTAGGTAATGTAACAAATGTAAATGTTGGTGCCTGTGCCAAATTGTCTGAAAAGCAACACCCAACTCACAGTGTAATGACCAATGAATTGTGTATCTCTCTGTACTACTTGTGCACATGTATGATCATGTCTGTAGGCACATGTGTGCTCCCCATACATGCCCACATGCTTGGTCTCAAGCTCTGCACCAAATGCCCTGAGTATCAGTGACTGTTCCTGTGTGGGGCCGCACCTACACAGGATTGGCCTTTCGATCGCGCGTCGGCTGGGCCGCGATGGCGCGCGCGTGGTCGTCAGCAGCCGCAACCAGCAGAACGTGGATGCCACAGTCAGCGCGCTCAGCGAGGAGGGCCTGGAAGTGTCCGGCGTCAAGTGTCACGTGGGCAACCCGTCAGAGAGGCAGGCACTTGTGGAGCGGGTGAGGCAGGCCACAGTGCTTCGCTGGGATGTGGACCAGGTAGTGGTCGGGTCTCTGAAAACCGTACTCCAATCAAAAGGGGATCACAGGCGCCGCTAAGATAGGCTGGTATTGACCATCATCCTTTAGGTGACCCCTTAGCTGGCCCCTTGGCAGTCACATGGTGAATATTAACACGCGCTCGGGAGGGGGTCAAATTGACCCCCCCCCCCCCGAAGGTTTTTCCAGAATGGTTTCCAAACGGCGCGGCGTAGCCGCGCCAAATTTTGCATAGCTGTGACAATTGAATAGCTTATCGTTTGGCATAAAAAATTTATATGTACTTTGTAAGGTCGCTGACATTTTTTTGACACACATTGACACACACACAAGGTCGAAGGCAATTTTTAGGGAATCCTTCAATCTGATCAAACAATGGAGTGTTAAACAAAGCCATACATCTCTGAGATGCTTTCTTAGGTAATACAACAGTTGAATGAGCAAATTACACGGACCTGAGGTCCGGTATAAAGGTCACACCAAGGTTAACACAAACCTGTTTTGTTACTCTAGGGCTTGCTGAATGGAATAGTTTCTGGTGCTCATTTCGAGTTTACTGATAGCAGGAATGGCATCATACATCTTCCATGGACTTCTTAGAGGTCAGAATAGGTCATTGATCTAAAATGACCCAGGTCAACATTTTGTTTTAGGGATAATTTTTGTCGCTTAGTCAAATGCAAAACTCAAAGCAATCTTGTATGATTTTGGTCACCTTGACCTTTAAAAGGCCAAACAATGTCACTGACCATGAATGAGAATGTGACATTTTGCTTAGAAATGGTTATCTAGGTTCTGGGGGCACTTTGGAGATCAACCTGGAACTTGACCTTGTTTGACCTTTTTTGACCCGAGGGTCATGACCTAGAAACCTGAAAATTTGGCCTATGTGAGCTTTCGTACAGGTCAACACACCCTGTAAATTTGGTGTCTGTGGCTTTCTTAGTTCCAGAGATCTCAGGGGAGTCAAATTTACCTCCCCCCCCCCCCCCCCCCCACCCGAGTGAAGGGTATCTAGTCGGCCGCCCGGGCACATGTTAATGTTTAACGATGCTGTTCTCCTGGGCCTGCATGTACTCTGCTGGGTGTTTTGCCTCTGGATTTAGTGGGTAAAGCTTAACTTGCTGATTTTTTATCTCGATATCAACATTTCTTGGTCATCATCAGACAAATACTCAACTATGTCGTGGCCACAGTGACGTGCAATGTTGACCAGCGACCTATTATTTCAGTCATGCGTTATCTGCCGACGTACCCATATAACCACTTTTGTCCAGTCAGTTCTTAAGTTGCTCATCCAGAGCAGACCGCTTACTTTACTTACCCGTGTCTACGCGTTAGCCACCACTGTCTGTTCTATGTTGCAGGCGCTGGAGAAGTATGGTGGTATCGATATCCTTGTGTCCAACGCGGCCACCAACCCAGTGTTTGGCGGTCTCCTTGACGTGAGTATCTGTCCGCGTGGTGAATCGCCTGATCTGGGTAGCCGTCGAGTGCTACCCAGCCACGATGTCTTTGTCGACGTTCTATTAAACGCACGTGTAGTCATATCATGTTGCACGTCATATCAGTGCTCGTCGCTTGAGTCCCTGGCCTTGAACCGAAGTCTGTCGTTGCTTGAGTCTCTGGCCTTGAGCCGACGCCTGTCGTTGCCAGAGTCTCTGGCCTTAAGCCGACGCCTGTCGTTGCTTGAGTCTCTGGCCTTGAGCCGACGCCTGTCGTTGCTTGAGTCTCTGGCCTTGAGCTGACGCCTGTCGTTGCTTGAGTCTCTGGCCTTGAGCCGGCGCCTGTCGTTGCTTGAGTCTCTGGCCTTGAACCGAAGCCTGTCGTTGCTTGAGTCTCTGGCCTTGAGCTGACGCCTGCCGTTCGTCAGTGCCCGGAGGCCGGCTGGAACAAGATCTTCGACGTGAATGTCAAGTCAGCGTACCTGCTGACAAAGCTGGTGGTGCCGTACATGGAGCAGCGCGGTGGCGGCTCCATCGTCTTCATCGCCTCCGTGCTCGGCCAGATCCCGAACTCGGTCAGTGCCATCCCTATTTCGGTTAGTGTGATCCCTGACTCGGTTAGTGTGATCCGTGACTCGGTTAGTGTGATCCGTGACTCGGTCGGCGTGATCCCCATCTCGGTCAGTGTGATTCCTAACTCGGTCAGTGTGATCCCTAACTCGGTCAGTGTGATCCCTAACTCGGTCAGTGTGATCCCTAACTCGGTCAGTGTGCGCCGCCGGCCGGTATTTCCCGAGCCGACCCTTATTCCAGGCTATGTACTGGATGGAAAGGGCTATAACGCCTCAGAAACAGCACTGTCTTGGTGTTGAAGCTGCTAGTGGATCTGGTTTCACGAGATTTATCTTATATCTGTCGTTATATATACCTTGACAGTCATCCACGGGGGTGTCCACGCGTTTTCCCTGCCGGCTGTTAGCGTGGCCATCATTCGGCACCATCGTCCCGCGCTGCTCCGACAGATGCTGGCCGCCTACTCGGTCAGCAAGATGGCTCTGCTCGGCGTAAGCCAGGTCTACTCTAAGGAGTGTGCGCCCAAGAACATACGGGTCAACGCGGTGGCACCAGGCTTCATCAACACCAATTTCAGCTCTGTCGTGAGTATTCACCTGCCCGTGTGATTATTATAATGATGCATACATATGATGATGGCTTACCGTTAGTAATTATAATGTAGCGTAAGGACAAATGTGTTCCCTTATCATAATCTGCGCGAGCGTAAGACGTGATTTTGGACATTATTCACGACCCTTCTACAGTTTCCGGCGCTGAAAGCCAAGGACAGCTGCCTTTGAGCCATGTTTGAGCAAACCTTTTCCATAAATATATAATAGAAACATGCCGAGCGTCCAAGCGAGTCACGGAAAATGAAACGTTTTGTTTTATATGGCACGTTTTGGGCGTCTTGTCATTGGCTTGCATCACTCCGTTAGATTGCAGCAACAAGTTTCGCTGGTTTAACAGGTCATGTATCAGTTATATTCTTCCACAATGGATTGTTTATGCATGTGTCTAGTTGAGTTTATGGTATCACCCCAAGCGTGGACGTCAGGCACAGCCTTCACTGTCAACGTGTATTGGTCTTTTGATGTGCGTTGTCCTTCTTCAGTTGGTGAACACGGAGTCGATTCGGACCGGGATCGAGAACAGCATCTACATGCGCAGGTGAGTTGTGTGTAGCCACTGTCCTGCTGTGAGCTGGTGCGTTGGCACCCGCCGTTGGGTCACGGTGAACCGGTAGTCATGTGGGGAGTCATCATATCAGTCGATGCATTGACATGTTGTATTCATGACCCATTTGGGCCCTTGGCTAGACCTCGCGTCTAATGCCGAATGTTCTAGAACTTCTGCGGTTTCGAAATCGCTCATGGAAACTGGTTGGCGCAGGCTTATTTGTGTGGAAGGTCTATTATTGGTATGGGTGTGGTCGAGGTACTGCGGTAAGTGGTCGGTCCCAATGGTTTGTTCCTTGTTCACTTCCTGAAAGGTGGCAGCATGTTTTACTTATTCATGAAACTACGTTCCTTTTGGCAGATACTTGTCCTCCGCGCTGTAATGGCTGTGCCGTGTTAAACATCATATGGACCGAATTGGACCGACCGAAAAAGCAGCTGCGATACTTTCAATATGGCCGTTCGCGCCGCGTCGAAAGCGCTACGGTCGACGCCAAGACGTTAAAGTAACTTCTCGCTTCTTGGCCATTGGAAAACGAACTGAATATTGGGTGGGGGTAGGATTTAAGTGAAATTGTTATTGTGTAACTAATGTCCTGAACGACCCCGGCATAGTTTGCACGAAGTGGTCTGCCAAGCTAGCTGGCGTCAAAATCAGAAACAGAAGATTGTTATGTCTTAAAAATTGCAAAACCGTGAACTGCACTGAATGACCTTCGGAAGGGCCATCTCATTTTAAATCCCCATACAAATGTGGAACACTTCTGTTAAGGTGTAAGTGCTCAAAACTGCTCCGTTTTGTACCGCGGTTTCCGTCTTATTTTGCTGCAGAAGTATCTGTAATGACCCAAACACGGCAGGTCAGTGCTTGCATCACTTTACCGTTCTTGATGTAGCGGATGTACAACTCAGGCTCCAACAACAGGCTCCAAAGTTCTTACGTTGAGTTAACGACCTTTAGGATGCCAGGAGGTGGCGGTTAACCTCCGTTGCAGTGGTAAATAACGATTGCATAGAGGGTACTGAATATTTTGAGGCATACTCATATTCAAGGGTGTCAGGAGCTCGGACAGCTTCAGCAAAATACTTTACTTGAAAAAGAAAACCCATGCATCCAAAAAACGTTCCTGCAGACACTGCCACCAAACGTAAAACATGCAACAACAAACAAACCGTGATCTTTAGCCGCCACGGGCATGGCCTGAACCTCAGAGACGTCTATAACCTAAAAATGCTGTTTTACCCAGGTCCCATGATGGATGTTGTACGTTCAGCCTAGGACGAATGTTTTGAATGTGCAGCAATCGTAAGACCTTGGGGTCTTCATTGCCTTTGGCTGTTGGCATATATATATATATATATATATATATATATATATATATATATATATATATATATATATATATATATATATATCAAAGTTGGGTTATGTTGCGCTACGTTCCGTTGCTGCATGTCGATCTGCAATACGTTCTTCCAGTAGTGTGTACGCTCCCCGGAAACGTGCGTCACTGAGGTGTTTAATTAAACATGTCACGAATGTAACGCTTTGTTTCTCCCACATGAAAGGTTTCTGGACAAAGGCTATATGATATAATTATGCTATGTCCTTCTGCGTGCGTTTCCTTTGCAGTTCTTTCACACGTATATGACAAATATTATTCCCAGCTGGACACATTGTGGTCTCCAGCGCTGATCATGCTAGTATGGGTCAAACAGTGTCACTGTGAAAGAGGTTTCAAATGTACATAATTTGTTTGTTTTGCTTTTTACAAGTTCTACGTAGACCTATCGTTGCAGAAATCTGGAGACCCTCTGTGTCCAGAGCATCCATTCTCAAGGAAAAGGAGAGACATTTTGGTCGAACTACGCCTTCACGATTGTGGATCAGAAGATACTTGCACCGCTCTCGGCATCCGTAAAATAAGAGCCGCTTTGTTGGTAGCCATGGATTGCGCCGAATTGTAATTTAGTAAGATAGGAGCGGCCGTGGGTTTAAAGTAAAGCTCTGTGGTACTGTTTCCGTCGGGTTGAACTGCAAAGAGTGTGTTGAGAAATGCCCGCAAGTGTTGTGCCTTGCGTTCCGGTGTGAAAGAATTACGGGGGTGGTGTTGAGTGATTTTGGCAAAGCAGTCTGTCATAGCTAACGTTAACTCATAATGCTGGAAAATCAGAAGCTGAAGGCCTCTTTTCTGATGTCAAATACTTATGTTAAGAATGGCTGTAAAGGTGCCTTAAATAATGTAAGGTATTTCACACAGTTTGCCCAAATCTTGACGCTCCTTGCAGAAAACTTAAATGCACCTGAAATCCGTAAAGATGTGATGGTGTTTGCGTGGAAAACCGTCAATTTACCCCATTTTACGATAATACGAAAGTTTGATAGCGTAGAACTGCATACAACATCTTTACGCATGACATATAGGCACATAAAATCAGTTTGTAACATCTAAGATATCCTCCACTGGCGACATTAAATGTGTAAGAATTGTTAAAAACATTCGTGTATAAACGGCCAGGGTATGGTCTAACAATAACATCAGTGAGGCAAGCAAATGAAGCGTCGATTTCGGCTGATCAGCACGTGCGTTTCGCAACAGATAGCCGGGCTCCCCGTAACTGGCCCGGTTTACCTCAGTTTTTTCCAGTTTGCATGCGAGTCTGTGCCATTTTACAGCTTATGTCCCGCTTTAGACTGTACACGCCTGCTAGTAATTTAACGTGGGTGGTGTCGATCTAATGGCATGATACATGTATGCTAACACATGTCATCGACACATATGCATTGAATGTGAGAGAGCCACCTCCTAAGACACTTCTTTCGCGCTTGTACATGACATTTTCCTTTTTCGTTGAGCCCCCGCGAAGGTTTGATGTACCCAGCACATCAGTCCACTTTTCTCTCTGAGCCTCCTGTTTATGTACCCAGCACATCAGTCCACTTTTCTCTCTGAGCCTCCTGTTTATGTACCCAGCACATCAGTCCACTTTTCTCTCTGAGCCTCCTGTTTATGTACCCAGCACATCAGTCCACTTTTCTCTCTGAGCCTCCTGTTTATGTACCCAGCACATCAGTCCACTTTTCTCTCTGAGCCTCCTGTTTATGTACCCAGCACATCAGTCCACTTTTCTCTCTGAGCCTCCTGTTATGTACCCAGCACATCAGTCCACTTTCTCTCTGAGCCTCCTGTTTATGTACCCAGCACATCAGTCCACTTTTCTCTTTGAGCCTCCTATTTATGTACCCAGCACATCAGTCCTCTTTTCTCTCTGAGCCTCCTATTTATCACAGTTATGCTCCACACCCTCTCCAAGCCAACAAATTTTGCACCATTGAGTGGCCCAGTGAGTTAAAATGGATGGATACGGTGTAGTCCACCCAGGCTCTTGTCGTCCTTACAGTCAATAAATGGTTTGCAAGCGGGTACATAAAGTCCCCTCCGTTTCCCCGATATAACATGCACATTTACTCACGTTACAACGAACATCATATGTAACGTTGCTTGTTTTACAGCCAATCGTCCGATCATACGTGTACGTTGTAGGTCTCTTTACTAAATCGTGATCCTAATAAATCCACCGACAGGTGATGCAGTTTCTTTCCATGCGCCTGTCTGCTCCTCGCTCGACTGTCCATGGCTTTTTTTGCATGTATTAATCGGCCTTCAGGCTCGACCTTCTTCGGTAGGATACCAGGGGTTGGTTAATAAATATTTTCCGCACGTGTTTGGAGTGATTCAAAACGAGTTGTTTGGTTGTAAGTATTTGTCTAATGCTGAGCATGCCCCTGGAGTAAGTTATAACGAGGGGGACCTGGGTCAACACCTTTCATTCTTGCTCTGCTTGTTGCAGCCAAACAGATGTTCACGCTCAATTTTGTAGGCCCTAGCAAAGCTATTGTTTATTAATCTGTCGGGGTACGTCGTTGTTTTGAAGCCTAGCTTTCAGATCTTGTCCATGCCGAATGTGTTTATCTTAGCCACTGTGAATTGTTTTCAACCGCATGTCTGATCCAAGAGGCCCGTCATTTTTGGTATGGTAACGGTGGTCTGATGACGAAAGGAGATAGTGTTTTCTGTCGGATGGTTTTGAGAACAAATCAGCTTGGGTGTGACCGTATTTTAGCCGCACAATTACGTCTAAGAATTTTATGTCGGTTTCGGCATAACGAAGGACAGCTTAAGTTTATGTGTGTATGCTGTTTGCGACGTGATTTTTATGATTATTTTTTAGTTATGTTTATAATATTATATTATTTGGGGCTATTTTGTAGTGCTTTCTGACCATGTTTCTATACTCAAGAAATGTTTCGAGATATCTGAAGTGAACTGGCGGTTTGAGGTCCGATTTCTGTGAAGTTGTTATTCCCACGCCCCCAAATACTCTACGCAAAATTTAGGTATCAATATATCAGTGTGACACCGTGTCATTTACAGTGCATCACACTGTTATTCACACGATTAATTCAGCTGCACCGTCAGTGGATTATTTCAACGGTCATTGGGTCAAGCGGGCCAGGCTCAGACACGTGCGATTATGTCACGCTTACGGGTGGCACATCAAACTGATTGAGAAGAAGCATTCCTTAAACTGGATTTTACACGGGCAGGATGGTAGGTTTAGGATCTTTTCAACTTGTAGTAAGAATTCTGGTCCCAAGGCCATGGATGCCAAACAATCGAGGCTTTACTGTCCGCCTGAGCCGATGTTCCGGGCATGCTGTCCACACTCTAGGCTCGTGACGTTTGTGTGGCGTTCGTGTTCGTGACGCTCGTGACCCGGTGTTCTGAAGAGCGCACGCGGATCGAGGATAGGAGGATAGGAGGACCCAGGCTACCCTCGATGTTCGGCAGGATTGGGGAGCCGGACGAGGTTGCCGGCATCACGTCCTTCCTCTGCTCCGACGACGCCTCGTACATCACCGGCGCGGTGATGAACGTGAACGGCGGCCTAGGCGACACCATGGGCAGCAGCTCGCTGTAGTGTCCAGTGCGGGCTGCGAGCCCCAACAGAAGCGGTGGTGACCGTCAGCCGTCGGCAGGGCGCGCTCGCGACGGCGCTCGGCGGACGCGCGCCCCGCTCGGCGCAGGGTGGCCTTAGCAGAGCGTGTAGTGGGATCGTACTGCCTGCGCACTAGTATGGACTATTCACGGGTGGGGCAGGAGAGTGTGTGTATCGAGTTAAACTGTCTGCAACATGCTATTGATCGGTATTAACCAGAGCGCACGGCTAGATGTCGGTACGCCGGCTTGTGTGTCATGAAAGGGGGTGTTCAACTTAGCTATTGATCGGTTTGTAGGGATTGTCGTTGGGTGATTGTTGGTGTCTGTGCAACTGTTGCGTATTCATGCGTCATAGGCGTCCTCGTTGTTGACCAGCATTAATATGCTTCATGTGTGGCTTCATCTCAGGAAAAGCCTTCCGTAGAGCGAATTTTCTGCCGCTGAGGAGGTTTTATACTGTGCAATATGCAAGCGTCGAGTCCATTTCGGGCGCAGGCCTGCTTGATGAACTTAGGATGCGTCGTATATCTAAACATTAGAACGGTGACAACATGAAAGCGTGACACTTCTACCATGATTTTGGTTTTCATTTTCGTCATTGTATTTCGTGGAGCCTTCACCAACGTAAAAGCAATTGGTGTTGTAGCAATTTTGATATTCCTCTCCCTCTGTTGTATCCAATACACGTTTGATACCATGCCACTGTGCGTGGTGGTAATGAAATGTATTCTGTGACATGAGTGGGCTGTGATGAAACACGGCGCATGCAGTTGGGCTGGGTCGGCTTCAGTGGGCCGTTGGCAGTAGACGGCGGTGTACTAGCAGTGAGGCATGTGCCTGGAGCCACCAAAACGACCTCAGGATCCGAATAACAGACAGCCCTATGGGATCTTGGGTCCATCCTTGGGATCCAGACGAATGTCTGCCAGCAGTATGCAGGGAAAGCAACGTTACAAGGAATGTACCACATTTAAAGATATTGAAGCAAGCATCAGACGTGATGAAATGAGCTAACTTATAGCTGTTTGTAAACTTTTAATAGGGAAAGGCTGCCGCAGATAGCACAATTTCTCCGTTTAGTTAACGTGCTCCTCAATGCGTCATTGTTACCTTGCATCACCGTACTCTGCACGGCGATGTTTGAGAGCCAGTTGACGGCTATTTGATCTGGAAATTGTGCTCGCCAACGCCAGATTTGAACGCCATGTGTGAACGCCAGATTTGAACGACTTGACAATTATACGGAATGACATGATTTGAATGACGTTACTAAGGCAGTATGGATGCCTGGTTGCCATTGAAATAGTGAACCATACTCTGGACAATGGATAAATAGCTAATGAACGGGACTATGCACTGCACCGAATGATCTTGAAGATGTTTTTTCTGTCCAAAACCCCATACAAATGTGGAAAATATTGTTTGATCCCAGCAGATATCGTGTAAAATGCATTTTCCATGGGTGTACACCATGTACTAATTCTTGAATTTGTTTTGTCGAGCTTTCCTCCTTTTCCGATTGGTTGGTCAGCGTTAACTGTGACAGGCCATTGCGTCACGAGCGCTGCGAATAATCATTGTGCTGCCGGATATAAAGTACATTTGTAAGGGATTAATTATGAACGGTTCAGGGTCGCTGAGCAGCTGATAAGTTTTGTTGCATGTAGATAAGACAAACCTGTTAGCCTTATTCCTCGTAAGATGATTAGGAGAAACGGGGGATAAATCTATTACCATTTCGGCCACATGCTTTTATCGAAATAAATGTCGGCTGTAAATGCAAAATTGCTAGACGATCTCGCTCTTTTTTGACGACGAGTCACAGTCTTTACAAGTCACCAGCATTCCGGTCATTAAACAGGGAGCGATTGCCAGCTTCTTACAACAGCAGTGTAGAAAGTGCATTGCTATAAATAGGACCGCATGCTTGTCATCACCTTGTGCGCTGCCGGAGGTGCGAGTAAATTTCCGTTGAGTGGTTATTCGTCACAATATGTTAGTCATTTTAACTTAATGTGGGCCGGTTCATCAGGATAAGGAAATGGTAAACTGCCAGCCTGCGAAATAACCTTGAGTCAAATGCTTGCGATTGTGCATTATTAAATGGTATCATCCTCTGCACACCGCGATGCATCTGAAACTTGAAACCCGTGCAACCTGGAAGTCTGATTCAATCCCGAATTGACGAACTCCTAAAATGACAGGAGAACGCAGCTCTTAAAAGGCATTGGCCACACGATTCCAGATAAAGCTCACACTCGTTCCTAATGATGTCATGAAAAGCGCAAGGCTGTCAAAAACAGTATCACTGTTTTTGACACCGACACCAATAAATGATGTCTGCCGATTATCTAGTTTAACTAAGCATGACTGCCTTTGATGTCAGGTAATATCTCTGAAAAAAATAGCAGTGAGCCCATTTACATGCATCGCATTTCTACGCGCCCGTCGGCCGCAGTGTGTAACATCCTCGCAAAAATAGCGTATATTTGCCGCGCAGAGACACCAGTCGTCATAGCGGAAGCGCAAATTCGGTAGAGCGCTCAAGTATACTGACCACATTTGTGATGTGGCGAGACGCGTAGTGATAGGTTCGTCTTCCAGAATGAATGTTCATGTATGGCTCACCAACGAAGGCCATTTGGCCGCCGGCCTGGTAGTGGCCGCTTGGTCGCAGCGGAGCCGACAGTCGCGTAGTCGCAGGGCACGCTTAAGGTCCTTTCGTTCTAATGGAACAAGGGGTCGAGGCAAACTGGATCTGTTGAAGATGTATTGCAATAATGGGATGGTAGGTTAAGAGTGCTGGCAGTATGTTCAGCAAAAATCTGATGAAAAGGATGTCCAGGCAAAATTTTGTCTTCTGCATGGCTTCTCATTCTGTAACTGAACTGTACCAGTAATCTGAAGTATTGTTGCCGCGTCAAAATAAACCATTGTTGCCCTGTTTTGCTGTCTTATGAGATATATCTGTCTATCTGTCTATCCTACAATAAAGAATCGGTAGCGACAATATCATGTTAAGTTGCTGGAAAACACGCCTTGGTTTACATTTGACGGACCTCAATGGAAGTTACTTCTCATTTGAGGCCATAATATTGAGGTTGCGGCTTCAACTTACTTAGCTGCACCGTCCATGGCGACGCCACTACGAGGAAATATCAGAGAAGATGGTCTTTATGTAACGGTGAACTCTTACGATTTTGTAATATTTCACCCCAAGATATTGGGGGCAAGGGGAATATCAAAAGCATGCACATCGACACCCGTGCTTTGGCAAGATATTTTCCGCTTATACATGGACCATTAAAGAGAACGGCATTATGTGCTTTGAATAGCTTCCAGTTAAGTTTTTTTATCTTTTGAATGGTACTTTTGTCCGTCAAAATCAAAAGTAGCTCACCAAGAGACATGTGTCGTCTTATATATTCATGATTTAATACACGTCCTGGCGACGGGTTAAATACCCTTTGCTCGGATCGGGGGTCAATTTGACCCCTTGAGATATCAGGAAGTAAGAGAGTTGGAGACACCAAATTAAAGGGTGTATTTGCCTGTATGTGAGCTCACTTGCGTCAAAATTTCAGGTTTCTAGGTCATGACATTCGGGTCAAATAAGGCAAAAAGGTCAAACTACAGATGGCGTTCAAAGTGCCCCCAAACGTCCTCGTGCAACCGCCGTGAACCTAGATAATTGTTCGAAGCAAAAGGTCATTGGTGCTCATGCAGTGTCAGCGACTTTGTTTAATATTTAAAAAGTCATGGTGACCAAAATCATGCATGGCTTCTTTGATTTTGAGTCGGAATAGGCGTCAAGGATTGCGCTAGGCGGTATATCCCTGAGAACAACATGTTGACCTGTGTCTTTTTGAGACAATGACCCAATCTTATCTTTAAGAAGTTTATTGAAGATGTGTAATGCAGTACCTGTTATAAGTAAATCCAAAGTGAGCACCAGAAACTGCCTCATACCGCGAGCTTTCGAGTAAAAAACAGCTTGGTTTTGACCTTGGTCTGGCCTTTACACCTGACCCTAGGCCAAGGGAAATGTGTATAGAGACTGACGACAGGGTGACGAGCAGTAGCCGGTGTAGGCGACCTCAGACGACAAAGGCAAGCCGACGTAGTCCCACATCGGCTCCGGTCCGTGGCTAGGCGACCTTCCCGACGTAGTCCCACATCGGCTCGGGTCCGTGGTGAGGCGACCTTCCTGACGTAGTCCCACATCGGCCCCGGTCCGTGGTGAGGGGACCTGGCCGACACAGTCCCACATTGGCTCCGGTCCGTGGTGAGGGGACCTGGCCGACACAGTCCCACATTGGCTCCGGTCCGTGGTGAGGGGATCTGGCCGGCGCGGTCCCACATTGGCTCCGGTCCGTGGTAGGGACCTTCCCGACGCAGTCCCACATTGGCTCCGGTCCGTGGTGAGGGGACCTGGCCGGCGCAGTCCCACATCGGCCACGGTCCGTGGTGGGGGACCTGGCCGGCGCAGTCTCACATTGGCTCCGGTCCGTGGCGAGGGGACGTGGCCGACGCATTCCCACATCGGCCCCCTTCCGTGGTGAGGGGACCTGGCCGATGCTCCACATCAGCTCCGGTCCGTGGTGTGCCGATCTGTAGCACAATTTTGACCGAGCGACGGCTACCCGATGCTCTCCGCGATGGTGATTATCCGAGCTCATGAGCATCCGTAGCATCATGACCATCATACGGCCGTGTGTTCGCAGCTGTCCGAGCTTGACACAACCGTCTGGCGGCCGGACGTTGATGACTATCCGAGCTCGACACGACCGTCTGGCGGCCGGATGTTGACGGCTATCCGTGCTCGACACGACCGTCTGGCGGCCGGATGTTGACGACTATCCGAGCTCGACACGACCGTCTGGCGGCCGGACACAGAACGCGCCTCATATCAAAGGGCTGTCAGACGCTTCGCCGAGAACGAGCCACGGCACGGGGCGTCTTGTTAAAGACATGATGCCTGATTGAGTCATGTCAATCACTTTCCTTTCCCTTCCCCCAGAAAATGGAGTAATTCGAGCCCATTGCACATGTAAGCCTTGGGTGCATCAGTGGTTAGTTTTCGCTGCATGTTGCAGCCAGTGCGTTCCGGCAGCGCGATGTTTCGCCGTCATTATGCCGTCGTCCAGATACGGGAGACTTCCTGATTCCTATAAGGCTGTCTAATGTTTATGTTTTGTGCATGCCATTGGTCTCTGTCTTAAATCCATTATCAGCAAATAGCATTGCCCCTCCCCACCCTCTTGCCCCTTTCTGTATCCTCCGCCCCTACCCACCCGCTCACCCCCTTCTCGCCAACTAACGCCATCCCCTGCCCCTCCCCACCCGCTCGCGCCCCGTCGTCAGCTGAAGCCATGCTCTACCCCCCACCCCCACCCGCCCGCCCCCTTCTATATCCCCTGCTCCTACCCACCTACTCGCCCCCTTCTTGTCAGTTGAAGCCATCCCCTGACCACCTGATCACCCTCTTCCCGTCAGCTGAAGCCACTCCCTCCCCTCCCCACCCGCTTGCCCCCCTTCTCGGCAGGTGAAGCCAGACTTTCATCATGGTGGGGTGCAAATCATTAGCGTGTAGGCACCATAGGAGCTGCTGGGGTGGTATACTGTCGTCTTGTCATTCAGACTAGCGGGGCCAGTCTACCACTGCTGCGAGCCGACCTCCACGGTCATGTACAGCGAGGTCAGTCGACGACTGCTGC